ATTTTTCATTAGCGACTTTTTTCGTTTATCATATGCGCACACGTCACTTGCTGGAAGCAGCTGCATTTTTATGCTGCCTTGTCGGAGATTTTTAATAGTAGATTATACCACGAGTCAATAATGATAGCTATTATTCCCGAGGAATATTTACGAACTGAGCCGCGTTAGCGGCGAAGGAGTACCATTCTGAGGGAATAATAGTCATTATTGCGTGAAGTATACTCTACTTTATTTACGACAAATTAATTTATTTGAGAATTTTAATAGCAAATTTCATCCATCTCAATACAAATCCACAAGCACTACACGTTTGACACTGACACTTTTGAGGAATAATGACCATTAATCCCGCTACTCGTCATTATTCCCTGCGGGTGACATTAGTCGGAAATAAAATAATATATTCTCGGCCGCAGAGTAGACAACACACTCTCGCTACGCGACCCGTACAAATTCGTGTCGTATCGGACGGTTCGGTCACTACAGCGAAACTGTCCCTATTTTACTGCCCTAAGAAGCTACAGAGTACTCTGCTACAGTCAACGCGCTTCAGTTTGGACCAGTACCCAGAGAACCAACAGAAACCTTGTTAATGGTAAGTGATCTGTGCGTACCGGGTTTAAACATTTATTTCCATTTTTTTTCAAATCATACAGTCCACTAAACAATTTTCATATTTTCCGCCACACAAGCTAAAATTGATGGCTTTTCTTTGCAAAAACATTCATAACAGGCGGCAAATTGAAATTTTAAATGTAATTTATTCAGTAACTTTTGTTGTTAGTTGACAGTACGCTATTAATTTTTTTTTCCACTTTTGGCAACTATGTTCGCGCACCGCAATATGGCGTCCAAACAAAAGGTCAATTACACATAAAATGTGTTTCAAAGCTCTAAGTGCGCGTTCACATTGACACCGCTCGAGCGGTGAGCGTTGCGCGATGCCGCTGTAGCGATGCCCAAAAATAATTTTAACATTATATTTCAAATGAACATGTTAACACCGCGCGACACGCCGCCTGAGTGTGAACTTGTTCATTTGAAATATAATGTTGAAATTATTTTTGGGCATCACTACAGCGGCACCGCGCAACGCTCACCGCTCGAGCGGTGTCAATGTGAAAGCGCACTAAGAAAGCGTTTTTGTGAATAGAAAAAGTCAAATTCAGTTTTTTCATTGGCAAGTGACATATTTTTCGTCGATTTTTAACTGACACTTTCCGTATGAGGAGCGAGGGGGTGTTTCATATGGCAAAAACAGGTGTGACGTCAGGTAACCATTGGCATTCTAATGTCGGAAGCCACCAGCTCACATTCCATCCGAGTATCAGATTAAAATCGACGGACAATAGTTCTTGAAAAAAAGGAGTATTTTCCATAGTTCATTCGGTTTCCCCGGTTTCTATTGGCAACAAAGATATTAACCATACTGGTAAGATGTGGACAGTCAACTACAGAGTGTGCCAATTTAAAAAGCAAATAAAGATCTTTGATGTAATGTTTGGTAGGTTAGTTCGTTTCTGAAACATTTGTAATTAATGTAGGATAGGTATTAAGCTTCATCCCATTTGAGTCACACCACTCCACAAACCTATTCAAATCTCTCTGCAGATTTGAGCAATCTCCCGAATTCGAAAAAATGATGACTTTACGTCATCAGCAAAAGAAAAAGAAAAAGATTTGAAGCAGGAGGCAGCATTATTAACAAAGCAGTTGAAGATAAGTGGGGCAATGTGTGACCTCTGGGTCCTTTTTCTTGAAACAGGGGAGCAGCGTTCCCAGAAGAATGAGTGTGTCGTCTTTATTACTCATATTAGCAGTTGCATATCATTGAGAAAGACACGCAACACTTGTTCTCCTGGGAACGCTGCTCTCCTGTTTCAAAAATAAGGACCCTGGGGGAGCCCTGAAGAAACCTGTATTTTATCCGACAGAAAGTTATTTACTTTGATAATCAGTTATGTCGCCCTTTATCCACCCGAGCATGGGTTCAGAGATTCCCCAAAATTAAGGTTCGTCAATTAAGACTTTGTGCGGTACCTGATCAGAGGCCTTGAAAAAGTCTGTATAGGGCCTTTGTGATAGTTGTTGTTTGAGATAGGAGGTTCAGTTCAGCATTGCGACCTGCGAAAAAGCCAAACTGTTCATTAATAATTAGAGCTGTCAAATATTTGGATTTTCAAACAGTTTGGGTATTGTAATCAAAATGCTAATAGGTCTGTTTTTTTTTTATATTAGAGGTCCCCGGATTTGTAGATAAACTACATAACTGGACTTCCTATGTTCTGGAAAGTGGCCAGATTTGAATGAGCTTTTTAATATGATATGCAGAGGTCTTGAGAGGATATAAGAGCAGATTTAAAGCAAAATAGGATGAATTTTCGCTGCAGCCGTTGACTTATTGTATTGTCCTATTTGTCTGTTTGGCCAGTAAAAAGTTTTGTGACTTTGATTAAGTTTAGGAGCTTCTTCACAATGTGACCTTTGGTGAGTTTAGAGATCTACAGTTTAAAGCCTCACATTCGAAAACTATGTGGGTGGCGGTTTCATCCTACTCGTCACAAAGTCTGCATGTGGGTTCTTCTTAGGGGGCCCATTGTGTCAAAGGGGTTTTCTCAGGCTGCAGTGTTCGGTTATAAGTCAGGTTATTAGACGGATTTGAGTCCTGTTCAGTTGTAGGATCTCTTCAGGAAGTTACCTTATTCAATTTTTGGTGTTTAAATTGCACTCATAAAATTCCTCCACCCAGTATAGTAAACCCTCTGAAGTAAGTAAATGGTTTTTCAACTTAAGCTTTGCCAATCTGTAGGTAGTTTGTTATACATTTTTATAATTGAAAAATGAAGGTTTTTTAGTATATGAGTGAAATTGCTTCTCACATTGACAAGATCAGTTCTTCCCCTTGTATCATAGCAATTCCGCCTCGAATACCGCCTAATTCAAGAAAAAGGTCAGAATTTTGCTTAACAAACAATGCTGCTTTCAGGATATATTGACTGGGTAATGTTAATATGTTTTGAGCCTTAAATATGGATTTACAGCTATCTGTCTGGTACATTGCAAATATTGGTCTTACACATCTTTTATGTGCAATAAAAACTCGAGAGACTTCAGGACTATGTATTATCCCAGAATACAACTCCATACCTCAATCTTGATTGAATATAAGCATGGTAAGCAGTTTTGCAACCTCATGATTTACCTCACTTGCCAGGTACCCTTAGGGTATAGATATTTGGCCAACCAGGCAGTGACCATCTCCAGTCCAGCTGTGAATCCACCTTTACCCCCAAAAAACTGGCAGATCTTGCAGTGTTCAAGGCTAGACCATCACCACAAACAAACTGAGTGGGAGACCAATCCTGCCGATATGAAAAACGTAGCAATTGCGTCTTCTCCACATTCAAAAAAGTGGCGTGAATTTTGTTACTTAGCTCCTCCATTCCTTCTGCTGAGAAGACTACTGAAGTGTCATCTGCAAATTGAACTGTAGAGTGATCAGTTATATTTGCAAGCTCATTAGTGTAGATAATGTACAGCAGTGCTCCATGGATTGATCCCTGAGATACACCTTTTTTGATCTGGCTAGAATTTGATGTTAATGTTTTCCCATTGTGTCTTTCAATAATTTGCTGCTTTCTATCAAATAGATCAGATGATATTAGTTGCAACGGAACGTCCCCCAACCCGTACCTTTCTAGTTTCCTGATAATAATAACATTTAAGTGCCTGATGATATTAACATTTAAGTGTTCTTTTGATCGTGGTACTGTTGGAGACCAAATAATAAATTGTTTGAAGTCTAATAAGTTTTTGGGAATATTTATCGATGACCAACCCAAACTTGAATCTCATTTTAATTATTTAAGCAAAAAACTGCCTCCGAATTGTTATGCGATTAGAATTATTTTTAAAAATTTGGATTTGAATTCGCAAGGAGCGCTCATTTTTTGCTGATAGAATCTTATTTAAGATATCTTATATGTTTCTGGGGGAATTGCTCACAATATTTGTTGAATACCTACTTTGTTTTACGAAAGAGAGCTATAAGATATTTATGCAGGAAAGAGTTTAGGGATTCCTGTAAGCCACTGTTTATCTCTTATACAATTTTGACATTGCCATGTATGTTTTTCTTCGGAAATGCTGTTTAATGTTTGAAAAACATAGAAATAGGATAAACTCATCTTCAGTCTGCAAGACTCGTCAAATACTTAACATCAATCGACCCATTTTCAACCCAAACAAAAAAACTCCATTTTTTACAATAGCAAAACAATGTATCCTATATTATAACTTATACCTTATACCCTTTCAACCTATATTTGTCGTTATTCTTTATCACAATTTAATAAATTCAATTTAATGGATAGCAGCCTATCGATGGACCCATGCACATAGAAAAATTTGTTGGATCCTGCCAAAGTGCTGTCAATGCTTGGAAAAAAGTATTTGTCAAGACCCAAAATGAAACTTTTTTAAGTCATGTATCCTCTCCCAGGAAGCAACGAACCAGTAGGTACATTTGATGCAGCTGCTGACCAATATCAAGATTATTCCATCATCAGATATTCATTCACAACTGGTTTAAGCTCCTCACATATTAGACAAAGACTAAAGCATAATACTCAACTTTGGCACAAGCAGCTGATCAGCTAGAAAATCGTCTCAACATCATTCAGCATCCTATAATACAATGTCAACTTTGCAAATCAACGCGACATCCTCTGACAATGCTATTCCTGGTATCATACACACTCAAACTCTGGATAATTTCGCCATTGCTGCTGCAATTTCAAAATGTTATTTTTGTGGAAAATCTAGACGTACTTGTTAGCTATATTTGTCCTTTCAAAAACATCTGCAGCTTTTATTGTTATGATTTCTGTTGCTTCTCCTGCATGTCTTTATAAAACAATAATAAAAAGTCGAAGTTAATAGTTAAATCATTATACAGTTGCTAAACTGGCAAAACATTAACTTTATATGATTATTTTCAGGTAATGAACGTCACCTTCTCCATGTTACAACTGAACTGGCACTGTTTCTGAACAAGAAACATCTCCTAGAAGAAAACAAAGTTCTTCCGGAAAACCTCAAAGCCCTGAACGAAATAATATTTTTCCTAGCAATAAACACAGAATTTGAAAGACCGTTATCCAACATGGAAGACTACGCCCATTTAATTGACATAATACCGCGACTATCGAAATGCGTTTTTGCCAATATTTGTTTTGGTCTAGATCTCGTGGAGTCATATGGATATGTCATTGAAAAGTTCCCTTTGGAAATTACCGAAGAGTTTTTGGATGCAGCAATTGATTGTTTAAGAAAAGGAAAACAGGAGGACCAGTTTAACAACGAATTTATTATATTGAGGGCTGTCGTTTCTAAATTGAGGCAAATTGAGTTATCATATAAAGTAAGTCAATAAAAATGCTTTGTCAATTTTTAATTAATTGTATTTTAGACAGAAGATACTGTAGCAGATATTGTAAAAGTATCAACAATAATTATACGAAATCTCACGAGTTATACTAGGGATCAAGCAAAATCGATGAAAATAAGTAAAGTATATCGAGACATGGGCTTTAGCTTATTGAAATTGTTAGATTTCCTGCTTTACATGGACGAAAATAATAAAGTACTTCAAATTTTGCTGGCATCAATTGTATCGATAGCTTGTGACATTATTAAAAGTGTTACTTTGGAAGTTTTTTGTTCATGGGTCGAGGTATTTATACATTCTAAATCACCCCCGAAATAAAAAAGAATTTGGAAATTTTTCTTGTCATACATAACATAATGGCAGATGATTTAAAGCACACACTGTATTTTTTTCATAATTATTATTACAAAGCAATTTTCTAGGTAGAATATGAATCTGAACCATTACAAGCAGTCATAGCACACAAGGCTTACTTGGTGAAAGAAAAATATCAAGGCAACAAAATCGCTTCAGAATTAACAGGAATGCTATGTTCGATTGCACGCAAACCAAAACCGATTGCTGAACAAATATTAGACGCCAATATTCCCACTATGATTAAAATGGTCGATCAGAATGACGAATATCAAAAATTATGGTTTAGGGCCCTACTGAATACCCCCGTTTTTTTGAATAAGTTATCTTTGGCTTGTATAGAAAGGTTACTAGTTTCATTATAATTGTGGCTTATCTCACAATTTTCTTTTTTAGGTGGTGGAATATCTGCGACGAAAGTTGCCTCAATTCCTTATTGAAATACCCATTACCAGGAGAGCCTGAAAAAAGACAATTAATCATAAAATGCACATCAAATCTTAACTCGGAAGACCTGTCTAGGTATTTATACATGCATTTCAACCGTGAGCACTTCAAATGGAAAGAAATAATCGACAATCAATTAATCCTTATTTTCAATAAATCTCAACAAAATATATCCGAAGAAGACTTAAAACAAATCCTATTATTAATTTTACAAAACGCCAAAGCGTTTTTCAAGCACTTTTATGAGACTGCATTTAAAAGGAGCTCAGAATTAATTAAAGTGTTTGATTTAATAAAACACATCGCGGAAGTCAATAATATAGGTCTAGAGGTACTTATGGAAGTTTTAAATGAAAATGTACCTTCGAGTGACAATTTAAACAATTACATTCAATTATTTGATACTATGATAAAAAGCCACTACTATACTTACGAATTATTGGTTACCAATGTGATATTAACGCTAATTGAGAAATTCAAAAATGAAGGGTGTTTAGAGGAGTTAAATTGTTGCCTGCGCATTTTAAAAGTAAGTTTGCATTTGATTTTTAGTTCCAAATTAATGCTTTTTTGTAGCATTTCCAGCACTTGAAATGTCCACTTTCCAAAGAAATAGAATTGTTTGAATACTTCCTAACGTGCCAAGCAGAATATCGATGTAAATCCTTTTTGGAATTTGAACTTATTAGGGAAGAAATTACGCATCATTGTGTGGAATATCTTTTGCATAAATGCCTTGCGTTCAGAGAGTTGGAGGGTAAAAGGGAGAGTTTTTCTCATATAGGTTAGTGATTTTTTTTTTGTGCAAAGAATCTGTCTCTCAAAGCAAAACAGTTCTCAGTTAAACACTTATGCTCATACCAGGTCAAAATCATTAATTAATTTTGAATTTTAGGTGCAAATCTTAACGATCCATGGTCAAATTACTATAAAAATTTATTCTTGTCCCAGGAAAATATTAGTTTTTTGGATTGGGTGCTTCCAAATTTGGATTTTTCCAATTACCAAGAAAATAGAGTGGATGAAAACTTTACAAAGTTATTAAAGGTATTTTATAGTTCATGTTTTATATGATTTTATTGAGACAACTTTCCAGGTTTTACCTCAATGCGTCCCATCGGAATGGATGGTTTTACTGAAAGAAACTACGGCCAAGCACAATCTCACTGTAACTCTAAATGTCCTTTCCGAAATAATGATTTTACTATGCGATTTTGGAGCTAATCAATTAAAATCCCCACAGAGTGCGAATCTGGCAGGTTTGAAATTTTCTTTGCAAAATTATGGTGCATTTTTAATGGTGAGAGAATATTATTTTTTGTAATATTTTATCTTAATTGTAAATATTTTAGTCTTCAGATTCAAGAGAAGACCAGCTACTGGCGATCAACAGTCTCTGTCGCGTTCTAAAACACATTCCTGGTCCTCTGAAAGAAACTGAAGGTATGTCTTTGATAAACGCTCTTCCGGAGGATGCTTTAAAGTCTTTGGCTGGGGACAAAGAGTTTGTAGCTCGGATTGTACTTATAAACGATAAGCAACTTTGTAAAGCTTTGGCTCAGAAAATTTTGGCTAGCAAATAATTGGAGGTAAAATATATTATTTAAAAATAAAAGTTGATAATTTTTATAAGTGTGTTTTTCAATACTGATAACCTGGCTGATAACCTTTACCATAAAAATGTTCTTTGAGATAAGTGAAAGATAACTAATTTAGCAAATTAATTATACAGTTTCAAAATGGTACCTACTCTCAGACTAAACTACTGCTATTGTGAAATTTTGTTTTAAATAATTATTCTAGTTTTAGTAGGATAAATAAAAAAAATACAACCCGTAACCATTTTTATTCGAACCCTAACAAATACAATAAAAAAATATTTCAACAAAATGGTTTGATGCTTAGTGAATTTTATTGCTGGATGGTTAACACTGAGCGGATACTGAAAGAGAAGAAAATATAATTTAATTAATTATGAATTGCAAGTAATATTAGTAATTTTTCTTAACATATACTTTTGTGCTCCATACATATAGTAATTATCATGTAAATTTGAATCAGCAAAAGTTGCATCTAGTTTTGAACATAAACCTAATTTTTTGAAAAGTTATGTAATAAAACAATAGGCCAAACGATATTTATTTTTATTAAAACCATTAAAACTTCAACAATCAAACTATTTGTTATAATTTATTATTTATTAAATTTTTGTTGAGGATTAGTACTGTGCGTAGGCTGCAAAGCAAGAATAGTCAAAATTAGTCATTGACTATGACATAAGTACATTTATGACTTTTGCATGAAATTAATATTGAAAGTGCTACTTATATTACTGAGATTATCAAAAACCTACCTCTCTCCTACGTGCATAAGATGGAAAGCCTCATTAATCTTATCCCAAGACATCGTGTGAGAAATGAATTCGTCAAGTTTCACTTTATTTGCCAAATAATCATCCACCAACTTTGGTACACTATCAATACTTTTCCATCCTAAAAATAAATAAATTTTCTATTATCCATATGATTTTTATAAAATTTTGTACATTATAATAAAGGATTATTGTATGTCACATTGTATTAGCCAGAGGACTAACCTCCAAAAGCTGTTCCTTTCCAAACTCTTCCGGTAACCAACTGGAACGGTCTCGTACTAATCTCTTGTCCAGCTCCTGCCACGCCCACAATAGTTGACACACCCCAACCTTTGTGACAAGCTTCCAAAGCTTGTCTCATTGTGTGCACATTTCCTACACATTCAAAAGTATAGTCCAATCCTCCGTCAGTTAATTCGACAAGTACCTCTTGCAGAGGCTTCTCGTAATCTTTGGGATTGACAAATTCGGTAAAACCGAATTTTTTTGCTAGAACAAACACATTTAAAAATTTGAAACTTCAATTAGAAAAAAGTGATTCTCACCAACTTCAAATTTACTAGGATTAATATCGATGCCGATAATTCTAGAGGCTCCGGCTAGTTGGCAGCCTAAGCCAACAGCAAATCCGACAGCACCCAATCCCCAAACAGCACAAGTGCTGCCTTTTTCTACTTTGGCTGTGTTCAGTGCTGCACCGTAACCTGTTGGTACTCCGCAACCCAAAAGGCATACTTTGTCTAGGGGAGCTTTAGGATTCACCTAGATTAAAAAAAAAAAAAAAAAGTATTTCTGAAAGTTAACAGAAAGTCTTCAATGGTGATATGGAAGCTAAAACTGTGGAATCTGTCCTATCAGCAGTATTAACTAGGCCTCATAAAATTATAATCTTATGTATCTAAAGATCACTGGATGTTAACTTGCAAAACTTTCTGGAGCATTTTCAAAATCACTCCGCGGTTTCCAAAACGAGGCTCAATGTATGTGGCGATTGTAACATAAATCTCAAAAGAGAAGATTGCGAAAAAGCAGCTTTCGAGGAAATGCTAAATATATTTCAGTTTGCAGTAACAGTAGATCAACGAACACGATTTAGAAATGGGCCTCCAGTAATTTTAGACAATATTTTGGTTTGAAACACAGCGAGGGAATTCTGTAATTTTCGTTTATATCGTGAAACCAAGCTAAAGCTAAGCTAAACCATAGCGAAGTCGATTTTTGTTGAAATTCTATAAGGTGTTCGCTTCGCTTCCGCTTCGTTTTCCTAGTGTCACATGCGAAAAAGCAAGCCAAAATTCATCGCTTTCGCTTTGCAATCGGCTTCGTGATCGGAGTCCCCGATTCTTCCCGAAAGATGTTATAGAATAGCAAACCGAACAAAGCGTCCCATAACGAAGGTCATTGTTTCGCTTTGAGCTTATAGAATCCGCCCCCAGATAATATTCTAAAGATAACAACTGATGTGGTCGAGGAAGGGCCGGCATCTGACCCTCGATCCGACCAGTTGCAGGAAACCTATACCCAACAATATTTTCTGTAGCAATAACAACATTCATGGGGTACGGTTTATAAATTAAAGTTCATACCTTAGCCAAAGAAATATCAGCGACAACGGTATACTCGCTGAAAGTTGAAGTACCCATGAAATGGTAAACGGTTTTACCATTGCAAGTGAACCTAGAAGTTCCATCGGGCATCACTCCTTGTCCCTGAGTCACCCTAATCTTCTGGCATAGATTGGTTTTGGGCGACTTGCAAAATTTGCACTCCTTGCATTGGGGCACGTACAGAGGAATGACATGGTCACCTTGAAACAGAAAATAATTTTAAATCCATTTTGCCATCACAATCTTGAAGGTCAGAATTGAATTTAAATCAAACATCAATTTAATGTCCTTTAGAAATAACATTTTTTTGCATGTGGCTTATAAATTGTTAAATTATTCTTTATTTTATAATTTACAAAAGGAAATATTTTTCTTTAAAACTAAATATTTTAAATTTCCATTCGAATTTTAGTTCACTGACTTTTCAAAAAACTGCAAGTCGTTTTCTCCTGTAAACAATTTCGGTTATTAATCAGAAATTATAATTGTAACTTTGATTTGTCAGCAAAACGATAGTTCAATGACTTCTAAAGCTATTTTGCTGAACAAAGATACACAACCAAGCAAAGTGGCTCACAAAATTCTCTCAACAGACCAAACTAACAGAAAAAAGATCACAATCATGGAAAAAACCTATTATAATTATAAACTAGACGATCTGCAAAAGCATTAAAACCATAGTTAGTCCTGTAATAACGCTCGTAAAATAACTGCACTTGTCTTGTATGTCTTATTGTAATTAAAAATAAGTTTAGAAGATTAGTGCAGGCAATTACCCCGTTAAGAAGTTTCTGGAGAAACAACAAATAAACATTTCTTCAACAATACTCAAGGCTTTTGACACTACAAACCAAAAGTCTAGTGTCATAAGGAACGTTACTATAAGGAAAGTGAAGCTTAAACAAGTATTTCAGAAATTTACTTTGAACTCTTTCAAGTCTTTGTACATACATGACAATCGTAACGAGATGACCAGATCACACTCTAACAAACTACAAACTATAGTTCATTTTTTCCCAAGATGGATTTTGATATTGAAAACTTTGTAACATATTGTCCGTCGTTTTTCATCTGACACTTTCCGTATGAGGAGCGGGGGGGTGAAGCTTATGGCAAAAACAGGTGTGAAGTCAGGTGATCATTGGCGTTCTAATGTAGGGAGCCACCGGTTCACATTCCTTTGGAGTATCAGACTAAAATCGACGGACTTTAAACAATACCGCTTGGACCTGATTGGTCGCAAAATGCAGTGTCCCTGCAGGTAGGAATCAGTTTTATAATGCATGTCGTGCAAATGGCATCTTGCAACCAATAAGCGGCATTGTTTATGTTTCGAAGTTGACAGTGTCAAAATCTATCTTGGGAATAAATACAGTTTAGACGATTATACAAACAAGTGATTGCTTTTGTATCTCTAATGTGCTTTGAATTTCTTTTAATGAAGCCCAGTATCCTAAATCCCTTCAAAACAATGCTATCAATATGCGAATTAAACGTTAGGGCAATATCGAAAATTATCCCTAAATCATTAATAGATGATACATTTTCAATTATTGTATCATTAATGGTATTAGTATTATTCAATGGGTTCGGAGGTTTGTGGAAACAGATAGATTCACATTTAGGGATATTAATTGACAAGAAGTTAGATTCACACCACACACATCTGTCTGCTAACACATCAGACTTCAAGCTATCAAGACCAGGGCCAACCGTGCTAAAGAGTTTGAGGTCGTCGGCGTATCGGATGTTTTAAAATACAATATAACAGCATATTGTTCTTTGAAGTTTGAAAAGCCCAGACATGTTAATAAGATTGTAGAAAGTAGAAGCCTAAAAATGGCACACACTGAGCAATTTCAGGCAGAATAACGGAATATAGATTGGCATAACCTTTATGTTTCTTGTGATATTGATGTTAAGGTCCATATTTTTAATAGTAGTTTCTTAGATTTGTTTGATGTGTATTGTCCTCTCAAAAAAATTGAACTGAGGAAATCAAAACCTCCCTGGCTTACATATAATTTTTAAAAAATGATTGAACTAAAACATAAAGCATTTTCTAAATATAAGACAATAAGGTCTTTTGAAAGTAAACAGTACTACCTTCAGCTAAAAAATTATATAGCTCATGCAGTTAAGGCCGAAAAAAAGGCATATTTTTCAAAAGAATTAAATGAATGTACCGGTACAAATAAAAGCAAGCTAATTTGGGATAAAATGTCAAAACTGAATATTACACCTAAAAACACTAAAGATATTCTAAATAATTTTAGAGAACCTAATGTAATAAATAATCATTTTTTGGATAATATACCTCAAACTAGTGTTGATCTAGAAGTCTTAAATTGTTTCCTCGGTTCAAGTGCGGATTGGGAGCCATTTCATTTTAACCTTGTGACTGATGATGATATTTTAGCATGTATTAAAAGTATTAAAAGTAATGCTATTGGTGTGGATCAGATCTCTATAAAACTGTTAAAAGTATGTTTACCATATTGTCTGAGGCCACTAGTAAATATTATAAATTTTTCCTTACAAACTGGTATGGTTCCAAGCATCTGGAAAATGGCTCTCATCACCCCGCTTCCTAAGGTAAATAATCCTTCAGGCGTTAATGAACCGAGGCCAATAAGCATACTGCCTGCTGCCTCAAAAATTCTTGAAAAGGTGGTTAAATGTCAGATTGTGCAGTTTTTGTCTCTTACAAATATACTACCAAAATTTCAGTCTGGTTTCAGATCACATTATAGCTGTGCCACTGCCTTACTTAGAATAACTAATGACATTTCGGCTGCTTTCGATCAGTCACATTGTTGTCCCTCAGTTTTGGTAGACATGACTAAAGCATTTGACAGTTTAGACTTAAATCTTCTACTTGCAAAGTTACAGTATTATAACATTGGGGAGCAGGACTGGCTCAGAAGTTACCTTTGTGAGAGACAGCAGGCAGTTAGACTGGCTGGGGTTGAAGGAGTGATGCTGCCTGATTGGAGGGTTGTGACGAGGGGAGTACCACAGGGATCTATTATCGGTCCACTTCTCTTCACAATCTTTGCATCAGATCTTGTAGATCGAATATCTCACTGTAAATATCACATGTATGCAGATGACCTTCAAATTTATCTTCCAACATCCCCAGCTGATCTTTCTGACACTATTGAAATGATCAATGTAGATCTACAAAATATATCAGAATGGACTTCTGATAATTCTCTTCTTATAAATCCCAACAAAACACAAGCTATACTGTTTTCGCGGACCGATATTGATTTTTAACTCACATGTTAGTAATATATGCCAAAGATCATATTACAAATTAAAACTTCTTGACTGAAAGTTTGGTGCTGTCTATTCCGGGGTATCTAGATGTGGTTTACGGGCCGTTCCTTACAAATCTTAATAAGTATAGAGTACAAAAAGTGCAGAATGCTTGTGTGCGGTACGTGAGATGTTTGTGTAGAACGGAACATGTAAGTAACCATGTTGTTGAAGTATTTGGGCATGGTATGGCTCAGAGACGATATATTCATCTGGGATGCCAAATACACAAAACTTTGAAATTGAAAGAACCTGCATATCTAACCGAGTTAATAATTCAGTGAGGTGATAGGCACCAGGTGAATGTTCATTTCACAGATGCCATATCAATTCCACATCATCGTACCGAATTTTTTAAATCATGTTTCACATATCTGTCTGCCCAGATTTACAACTCCCTTCCTCATAATTTCAAGGGTCTAAGTGTTTATACTTTTAAAAATAATTTAAAACGCTTTGTGTCGGATAGATCACTCAGTCTTTAATTTTAAATTGGTGCTTACTGCTGATTGCTTTGTGATGCTGGACCTTTTTTTTGTGATATTGTTTTTATTATTATTTTCATTTATTGTAACTAATGTTTATCTCTGTTGTTAATTTTAACTTCTAATTTTAAGTATATGTTTAAGATTTTATTATTATAGCAAAGGGTGGTTATTAAAATACGCCTGGCGGTACTTTCCACCTTTGTATGGTAATTTTTACATGCAATAAAGATTTTTTTTTTTTTTATTTATAAAAAAAATAAAAGAGCACAGGACCGATATGCAATCCCTGGAAAACGTCAGAGGTCACAAGATACAGAACCACAAACAGTAATAAGCGAGCTGACGACGCTGAGAAAGGTAGGATTCAATAATTAGCTCAATGCGTCATTGATATACATTTGTTCAAAATAATAGAAGATAAGGCACAATACCTCCATTGGCGACAATATTTTCCAGAAGCTAGGATATGAAAATAAGGTTGAGGCGATAGACAAGGTTATTCGAGTTGGTCGAAGGGAGGATGGTAAGAAAAGACCTATAAAAATAATCTGCAAAAACTCAGAAATTGTGCAGAAGGCACTAAGTGCAAAGAAAAAACTCCAAGCTGAGTCATGTCTCTATAGAATAGCTAATGACTCAACAAAGAGGCAGCAAGACCAATACAAAGCTGCAAAACAGGAACTAACCCGCAGAAATCAGGAGGGTGAGAACCTTGTAATAAGTTACATAAATGGAGTACCATCTGTTGTTGCCAAACAAGCGATGGCGCCACAGGAAAACTAGGTGCGTCCCCATTGGCGGTTTATTACCAAAATGTGAGCGGTCTTATGGTGAGCATTTGGCTGATAATGGCCAGGACACTGTAGATTTGCTTAAAGGGTACTTCGAAACTGTCTATACGCCAGGAAATACTGTAGATTCATTGGAACTAGCCACCCCATCTAATATGTCAGAAAATTTTAATTTCAACCCCATTTCTAAAGAAGAAATATACAATAAGGTAGTTAAACTTCCCAATAAAAGCACCTTGGGTCCTGATGGAATTCCAAATTGTTTTTTGAAACATTGTTTATGCACTCTTGTGCGGAAATGCTGGAGAATGGAGCCAAAATCGATGGGTACAATGACACACATGCATTATCTACAAGCCGACACACAGGAGGTGCGTCAATTTACATTAAAGAAGAGTTACACTTTAAAATCGTCATAAATGAAGTGCTAGAAAAAATATGTGGTTAGTAGGAATAAATATTGCTATTAATGGCCAAAAATTTAACATTCTAAATGTTTATCACTCACCAAATTCAAGTGACAGTGAGTTCTTGTGGATAAATTGGAAGAAATTTCAAATATCTATGCTATAAAACCTGACACATTTATTTTCATGAAAG